CCCACACACACACACACACACATACACATATACGTACAGACAGAATGATCGTTTGATTGATTTTTATTATTGATCTAGCTGAGGCTGATCAGCTGTTATCAATCACTGTCACGGGAATGGTTTCGCGAGCTTTTTGTTGGACTCGCGCGCAAAGCTTACAACAAAACAAACACAAACGCCTGACGGATTTCCAAAATAAAACATGTGCGGGTAAACACACCGGTGAACACACCGTTAACGCTTTTCTTTGTGAAACATTTCTAAAACAACTGAAGGTTTGATTATTGCTTTGCTATTAAAAGAATAGCAAAGAGGGCTATACAACACAGACAACCCACTAAACAAAATTAAGAACAGTTGATTATTTATTAATTAGAAACACATTTGTATGTATACATTACTATTTGTATTTTAAATTTAAATTGTATACTTTTATTTGTTATTTATTCATCAAGTTAATTTTATTAAATTAATTAAATGTTGTATTATATTTATTACTTTAAAATGAACTTTTTTACTTGTTTTAGTTTTAAAGTTAAGATGACAGCACTCCCCCTCCAGTCTAAAGGATTTCCATCATTAAAATTTATTGAAATATTGACTATTAGCTACCGTGCGTTTGTTTTCAACAGTATTGATTATTAATCGAATTAATACTTTTTTAATTGTACCCTTAAAATCCCTTGCTTTTACTGTGAAAGCCCTCGGGCCTACTTCCGCCCTGCTTCCTCGGCTCTCGGTAGCTTCACTCGGACGTTTTCTGACTTCCTGGTTCGGCAGAGTGGGGGCGTTTGTTCTGCCCGTTTCCAAACACAACAAAGACTCGAGTGGGGTGAGATTTAGTGAGGTCGGTCCAGAGATGAGCTTTAAAGCTTAAGTTTGTGTCTGAGCTGCGGTTGGAGTTTAATCTGATGCTAGGACGTTGAAGCGAGCGGCGGAAGGTCTTCATTCAGTCCGCCCCGACGGTTCAACATGTGGCTGCTTTTCGCCTTTTTAGCCGCTTTCACGAAGGCCGCCGTCCCCCCGGACACGACGGAGCAGGACTTCAGTGAGTGTTTAAAACTGAATTTAATCGTAAATGTGTCCTTTGTGAGAGCCGCCTTTCCGCCGGAAAACTTCATGTTTGAGGCAGAAGGTATGGAGGACCGCTCATGTCAAACAAAAGTTTAATTCGCATAAAAATCACAGATAATTAAATAAATGGCTGAGTGAAGGATTATTCAACTGGATCATGATAGTAGTTTATTAAATGAAAATCAAGTCAAATGAGATTAAAAGTTAACATTTTGACCAGAGATATATAACTATTATAAAAAAAATCACAATACATGAACTTAAAAATAAAAAAGTCATAATAAGAAGAGAAGTGTAGGGAGTTAATTGTGACTTTTAAGAAAGAAAAAGCAAAACCTAAGAATAATGCTGTGCCATAACGATGTTGGCATATGTCACTGGTTTCTAATCGTGACGTCATCGTTTGACAAGAAATGAGACGATAAAAAGTGCAGAGTCCTGAAGTTTAATATTTTAACTTCTTTTGTTGTTACAAACTTTTTTTTTTCATAAAAGGAAAAAGTGGATGAAAAACTTGCATTTCTATTAAATATAAAGTCTGCAGCATTTCATTTGTGTTAATTATTAACTGATGTGTTGAGTTTGGTCACGTGTTGGCGTGTGGTGGAGCTGAAGTATTTCACAGGATTTTCAATGCTAACAGGCAGGTCTGCATTCCCTCTGCAGTGTCTCTCACAGCGATGCTGGATGACTTTGATGTGCTGCCTCTCTCCAGCCTGCAGACGCACTCCGTCCGCCGCCGTGACGTCCAGACTCAGACGCATGTGGAGAAGCTGATCAGCTTCAGCGCCCTGCAAAGGTAAGATGGCGGTGTCCATCCATGCAGCTCTGTGCCATTTTAAAATCTTTGATTTGTAAAATCTGAACATCTCCTCCTCGTGTCTACAGGCATTTCAGACTCTACTTGAGGACCAATGATGAGCTCTTCACCAGCGACTTCAGAGCCGTGGTCATCAGCGAGGACGGCCAAGAGTCGACCTACCCGGTCAACAGGCACAACTACTTCACCGGACACGTCATCGGTAAACTGTTTTAGCAGAGCCTTTGTGGAGGTCTTTGGGGGTCCTTCTGGTGTTTTTTTTTTGTTTTGTTTTGTTTTTGTTTTTTGTATTCGTCTTGATGGAGGCTTTTAAGGTCCTTGTAGAGGTTTTTTTGGTTTCTTGTAGGGATATTTGGGCTCCTTGAATGGATTAAAGAGTTCTCATGGAGATTTTAGGTGTTCTTATGGGGTTTTTAGAGTCCATGTGGGGATTTCACGTGTCCACAGAAGGTTTTAGAGTCTCTCGTGGAGGTTTTTGGGGTCCTCTGAGTTTTGAGAATTCTACTTCATGGTTTCTTGTAAAGCTTGCAGAGTAATTTAAAAAAAAATTCCAGATGTCCTTGAGAAGGTTCACAAGGCCTTATCAGGCTTCTTGTAGATGTTGTCGGGCTGGTCCAAAGTACTTCAAACACACGTGTGGAATGTGTGCGGTGACCTTCAGCTGAAAGGATTAGTATGGAGTAACTGCTCCTTTAATGAGTTTTTGTGTTGTAGGGGAGGAGAACTCCCGTGTTCAGGCGCACATCGAAGATGACGAGTTCTCCGCTCACATCCTGACTGATGAGGCCGAGTACAATGTCGAGGTAAACACCTGAGACTTGGAGTAAACGCCTGCTGAGTGATCGGTCCCTAAACCTTCATCTGCTCTCTTCAGCCTCTTTGGAGGTTCACATCGGCGCCCTCTGGCAGTCGCCTCCTAATCTATCGCTCGGAAGACATCCGCAACATCAGCCGCCTGCAGCAGCCTTCGGTCTGCGGCTACGTGACCTCTGACCCCAGTGACCTGCTCCCTGACAGCGTGAGAGCAGCTGTGATGGAGGAAAAGGAGGAAGAAGGTGAGAAGCGAGCTCCTCACCTGAACTTAGCACTGCGACTGCTTCCTGTTTGAGGGTAAAGCTCACACTGACCCAAAGTGACCACGCCCAGGTGACACAGGAACTGCGTTAACCACAGAGAATGCGAGAACTTCTTGTCACTGCTCAGCACAAACGTGCCCAGTGAAACACCTTCATCTGAACTGAGTACAGAGCGAGCGACACAAACAGGAAGTCAATCAGAAAAAAGACTTTTAATGCGAAAAAAAATCACAAAGTAAAAGCTGTTTAAACAAAAGAAACAAAAAAGAGCTCGCCATTCCAACCGAATGAAAAGTTCGAGCTTTAAATGAAAAAATACAAAAGCTGAAAAAATATTTTTAAGGTAGGGAAAAAAAGAGAAGAGAGATTTTACTGTAAAATCATATATTTTAATATTTGACACATTCAAACACTCATAAATAATAACAAATAAAAAAAGAGCTTTCAGTTTCAAATGCATAAATAATATTGTCTGACGTGTTTCGGTGGTTTCTTGTTTAGAGTCGGCGTTCAGAGTGAAGCGTCACGTGCACGACCACAAGAAGAACTCGTGTCCTCTGCTGCTGGTAGCCGACCATCGCTTTTACAAACACATGGGCCGCGACGAGGAGAGCACCACCCTCAACTACCTGGTCGGTACCACCTGTACATCCATCACCCCAGCCTCTCCCATCCACTGACACTGAACCCTGCCCCCTCCCAAATGTGTTTCAGATTGAGCTGATTGACCGTGTCGACGACATCTACAGAAACACGTCATGGGGCGATGGGTTCAGCGGGTACGGCGTCCAGATCGATCAGGTGAGCATGCTCTGTTCCGCTTCCTGTTTGTGTTTAAATTCGGAAGCTGTGATTTTTAACGTGACACCGCGTTCCTGCCATCAGATCATCATCAAGAAGTATCCGACTCCTGTGGATCCCGGAAAAACTCATTTCAACATGAAGGGAAGTCCAGTGGAGGGCAGAGACGTTTGGGATGTGAAGAAGCTGCTAGAGGTAATCACAGGAAGCTGACACTGCCACGCCACCAAGTAACAGTGTCCATATTCAGATTCAGAGAAACAGGTTTAAGATTTAGGTCTGTGAACACAGGTTTTTTGTGAAAACGACATTTAATTTGAAAAGAAACAGCTTAGTGTGAGTAGAGCAGGCTGTGATGTGGAGTGTGTCGGATGCATTGGATCGGTCAGCTCTCTGAGGTCTCTGCTTGCCATCCTCTCGCAGCAGTTCAGTGTGGACATCGCGGGGAAAGCCTCCAACGTCTGCCTCGCTCATCTCTTTACCTATCAGGACTTTGACGAGGGCACTCTAGGGCTTGCCTATGTCGCCCCGTCTAAAGCCGACATTGCTGGAGGCCTCTGCTCCAAAGGTGAGTCCCGTGGCTCCGCCCCCAGAGTCACTGGTAGATGGAGGTGGAAGTGTGACTCGCGTTGTTGTCTCCTTCCACCACAGCTAGTCCTTCAACCTTGAATGAGCAGGGAGTGATCTACCTGAACACTGGCCTCACCAGCACCAAGAACTACGGCAAGACCATCCTGACCAAGGTGGAAATGAACCGGGCGTTCTGATTGGTTAATGCCTGCTCCTTTCAAATTGTTTGAGTGTGTGTGTGTGACACAGGAATTGTTCGTCATTGTCTCCACAGGAAGCGGACCTGGTGACAACCCATGAACTCGGCCATAACTTCGGCGCAGAGCACGACCCGGACAAACCGGAGTGTGCCCCCCGAGAGGACCAGGGTGGGAAGTATGTCATGTATCCCATCGCCGTGAGCGGAGACCACGTCAACAACAAGGTGCAAAATGCTGAATCCAGGATTTCAGTCTTTAAACTCACTGTTCCACCTGCATGTTTATTAGCGCCTCTTTACACATTGCAAGGCTTGCAAAATTTCAAAATCTCTGGTAGCCCTTCGGGCAGGCATTCTTCTGTTTTTGGTAGCCCGAATAAAAAAATAAAGCAATTTTTTTTATGTTTTGTTTCCATTACAATATTATACATTAAAGTATAATATTGTAACGGAAACAAAAAATAATCAAAAAAATTGTTAAAATACAAATCACA